AGTGACGTGTGCACAGTAAGAGTTCTACTGTCCGTGTTACTTGGGATCCTGTAAGAGAAAGAATAACAAAGAGGAAAAAAGTTGAAGTAACAATAAGCATCTCCTAAATTTGCTCAAGAGCATACGCCTACAGACAGGAAAGTTGAAGCTGAATAAATACACCAAACAAGATTTAAAATTCCATGTCGGAGGCTTCATACCTTTTTTTTTTTGGAACCGGGAATTGAACTCAGGCCCTTGCGCTTGCCAGGGAAGCGCTTATTCCACTGAGCCATCTCCCCGGCCCCCATACCTCTAAATATTAAAAAGAAAGCCATTTTAAACAAAGTTTGATGGGCTCAGCACATTATGAACTGGGGAAACAATTCAAATAGTAACAGATTTCTCATCAGAAAACTTACAGGCCTAGTAGGAGGACACAAGAACCGCCCACCCTGAATCCTACGAAGAGAACGCAGGATGTCTGCAGATGGAGCAACGAAGGGAGCGCCTGGTCCCGGCAGGGCGACGCCAGAAGCAGGCCGGAGCAAGAGCGTCCGAAGGGCAAGTGGAGCGAGGAGGGCACGGCGCTTCACGAGGAACTAAGGAGCGATGGGACACGGCCTCTGTGAAACATGCAACAGAAACGACGCCTCACAAAACAATGCGCTGCATGTGCCGCGGAAACACCGAAAACCCTGATGTTAACTGGCACAGCACAGGGACCTAACGCAAGCGAGGTCGTTGCACACCCAAAAGCTAAATGGGTAGTGTCCCTACACTGTGCCAAGGCTGTACCATGATACACAGAGCTACCATGCAAGGAACGGAAGACGTGCTAGAAAACTACAGATCACTACATAGATTCTTGAAAAACTAACTTTTAATTACTCTTCTCTCTTTGCTGGCACTCAAAAGGAGGGAAGGAGAGGATTACTTAGCTCACAGTTACTGCAGGTTTCAAGACACTGGAGGAGAGGCTGGGGGCTGCCGCGTCCAGGATGACCTTCCCCGCATCTCTGAAAGCGCAGGCTGCCAGTGTAATGGCTCAGGCCCCGCCCCTCAGGGCCCCGCCCCCTCAGGGCCCCGCCCCCATCGGGCCCCGCCCCCATCGGGCCCCGCCCCTCGGGCCCGCCCCCTCAGGGCCCCATCCCCTCGGGCCCCGCCCTCAGGACCCCGCCCCCTCATGGCCCCGCCCCCATCGGGCCCCGCCCCTCAGGCTGCTTGTTGCTTCTCCAGCTGCATTTGCCCCATAACCTACATGAGGCTTTGGGTGGACAACTAGACACAAACCATAACGGTGACCTATATGGAGAAAAAATAGTAAAAATGAGACTAAACAAGAAATATAAACTAAAATCAAATCCTAATATGAAAGCTGTAGGTGTGAAAAGATATATATATATCTGTATATAAATATATATCTCCAAATATGATAAAGACAATGACGAAAAACAGAAGTATGCAAAGCTTTAACCAAAAAATACAATCATGACTATATGATCAGATACAGTTCAGAGTCAAGAATATTTATAGGTGCAAAAATTGATACTAAAAGTGATTCAAGATCAATACCTAAAGAAGCCTTAGAGTCCTACATGGCTATACATCTAATTTTGGTGTGTGCATACAAAGAGCCATGGCCAGGTGTGGGGTGCACATCTGTAATCCCAGCACTTGGGAGACTGAGGCAGGAGGAAGTTCGAGGCCAGCCGGGGCCATCTAGTGAGTTCAAGACCAGCCTGAACTATACAGCAAGACCCTCTCAAAAAAAAAACCAAAAAAAACAAAGTAAAGTAAGAGCTCTGCATGCAGGAAACACTGAGGGGACCCAGAGGAAGGACAGGCAGCTCCACAATTCCAGGGTGGGACTCCAGCAGCCCTCTCCTGGCCACTCGGAGGAGATGTGGACAGAGCCACACGCAGCACCTCATGCCTGTGACCCAGCTCTCTGAGGGCAGGACAGGACCGCAAGCTGGGTGAGTGGGTGACTTGGCCAGAACCTGTCTCGCATGTAGAATTAGGGCTGGGGACAAAGCTCAGGGCAAAGGCACTAGGTTCATGCCCCAGTATAGTAACTAAACAAACAAAAGCCCAGGAAATCAGCACAGCTGTAGAATGCCTGAATCACATCACCAGCAAACAGGGTCACACACACATTACAGACGCTTCACCAGAGGCAGACACCCATCGGGAGGAGGAAAACCAAGGCCCCGGGCAAAAAAAAAAAATCCAACAGAGCCAATACTGAAACAAGTAATTCATACATTAAAGAGAAAGTCAAAAAAAGCAGAAAATTTCAATATTGAATGATACATAATTAAAACACCTAAAACTTGGGTAAAGCTAACAGTGCTGTGATAATAATATGTAGAATTTTTAAGAGTTTATGATAGAAAAGAACCTTAAATCAATAATCAGAAACACTCACCTTAACTGGATGTAGTGGAGCACGCCTATAATCCAGCACTCAGGAGGCAGAGGCAGGAAAATTGTTGCCAGTTTGAGACCAGCCTTCGCTACAAAGTGAGCTCAAGGTCAGCTCTAATTGCAGGAGACCCTGTCTCATATAGACAAAAAAAACCAACACCTCAAGAAATCACTAAGAGTGTGGTAGCTGAGATTACTCCTGTAATCTTAGCCCTCCGAAAGCTGAGACAGGAGGATCGCGTGGGCTACGTGGTGTGTTCAAAGCCAACCTGAACTCCACAGTAAAATCCTGTCTCACCAGCCCCCCCAGAAAAAAAGAAAAGAAAAAGGAATCACTCAAGAGCCAAATAAATACAAGCAAAGCAAAAATAAACAGATACAATACACATCAGAAAAGCAATCAGTGAAGAGACTGCCCCCTCCCCCCGCTGGCAGCCCCAGCTGTAGCACACAGGGCTGCGGCCGCCAGCTCGGGGCCAGCCTGGGCCAGTCAGGAGCCTGTAAGAACTGTTTTCACTGGAGGTGGCGGGGTGAGAACGCAGCTCAGGACAGCCTGCCTGCCCAGCCACAGCATGCGTCCCGAGTTAAATCTCCAGCTCCAAAAAATAATACAAACAAAAAATGTAAAGACAGTAGGGAAAAAATCAATACAAAGTGCTGATTAATTTGAAGTGACAAGGAGAGGGGCTTACGGGTTAAAAGACCAGCATGGAATGGGTCGCTTTCCAGGGCTAGGAAGAAGATGGCGTGTATGTGCACAGATCCTGCTGCCGCCAAGAAGACAGGAAATACGCTGAATAATGCTACACACGTATTAGAAAATTCACACGGAATCGAACAATTCCTTGAAGAGAACCATAACAATTCACATAATATGAAATACGCTTTAATAGCTCTAGATCTATTAAATTAAATAAATACATAATTAAACACATCTAAATGCTTCACTGGTGAATGGAACCCACCGCCACAAGAAACACTGGGCCAGAGCGACAGCTCAGTGGCGTAAGTGCCTGCCTGGCAAGTGCACAGTCCTGAGTTTGATCCCAGGTACCAACCAAATACAAACAAATAGAAACACCAACTTTACAAACTGCCTTCCAAATAACTGAAGCAGAAAGAATACTTTAGAATTCATGCTGGGAAGCTAAAAATACTATGACTCCAGAATGAGAGTACAAAAAAAAAAGATAGGGAAAACTTCTTCAACAAAATATGAACAAATAGAATAATTTAGTAAATAAGCAGCTACGTTCCGTGACCAAAGATGCAGGTTAAAACTCAACTAACATAACAGTCTGCATCATACCAGCAAACTGTAAATGATGACAAAATCAACTGAGAAAAAGCATTTGACAAATTCTCAAACTTAACAACAATAAATCTTGACAAATTATAAAAAGAAATGTTCTAAACTTGATTTTGAAAAAAAAAAAAAAAACTGCCAAGCAGGATGGTGCATATCAGTAACCTCAGCTCTTGGGAAACTGAGGCAGGAGGACCCCTCCAAGTTCAAAGCCAGGATGGGCTAAAGAGTCGAAGTCATCCTGAACTATTTAGCAAGACCCAGTCTCAAAAATAAAACTAATTTTTAAAAAACAATTACACTTAACACATTAAGAGAAACCAAACGATTTCCCCCCGATATCATGAACCAAATATGGAGGCGCTCATGCGAGAGCTCTTCACCGCCGCACTGGAAACCTGGTTAGGATGAGGGCACAAAGCAAAGCCCAGGATTTGCCGCTTACTGACACGTCTGACTGCTTGGACCCGCGACCCACCGCTCGGACTTAAGGGCCCCGCTCTTTTTAGTACAATTCTGTACGGCTTGTCACAGAGCCTCAGCGTCTCTTCTTTGCCCAGTAGCCCGTGTTTATGCAGTACTGGAACTGTCACTGGCTGTACTGTAGAGTACTGTACCTTAGGCGGCATTCACTTAATGACCTAGCCGCAATACATGACTTGATAAACTGGGAGTTCTGTAAAAGGTAGCCAGACAGGAAGACATAAAACTACTTGCAGAGAACACGTCTGTGTTTAAAAATCCCAAGGATTACCTCATAACAAAAAAAAAGCCTAGAAATAGTGACTTCATTAAGGTTAGAGGATACTAAAAGAATATCCATAAGCAACTGCATTTCTGTATACTGACAAACACCATGTAGAAATTCAAAGTTTAAGAATCAATGCACTTATGATCACTAAAAGACATTGTATTTAAATGTACAAATGCTTATGCTGTACATTACAGAACAGTAATGGAAGAAGTCAAGGAATTCTTAAGTGAAAAGCTACATCATGTTCATGAATGGGAAGACTCATCACAGGACAGCAATTGTCAATAAAATTATATAAAGATTTATATCAACAGTTGGGCCAGATTTCATTATAAAAGCAGAAAACCTAAAGTATGTATGGAAAATGAAAAAAATGAGTGCTAATTAATTTTAAATACAAATAAAAAGGAGTCCCTTTACTAAATCTTAACATCTACTATATAGCTATAGTAATCAAGTAAGTCCACAGCTGAAGAGCAGGAAAATTCGGACTGGGGTATAAAATCCCATAAGAAAGACTTTTTTTTTTTAAAGCAAAGATTTAAACAGTCTTAAGTGGTACCAAAAAAGTGCCTACTTGTTGTACTTTCGGGGCCTGCTGGTGAAGCTCAGCAGGACCGCACATGCTTAAGATGACTAGGATCTTGCATCAGTTTCCCAGCGTCACATACATGCACCTGCCTTCCCTTCCCTCTTCACATACAAAAGGACTGCTAACTCAAGCCTTCATATTTCTCATAAAGACCTAGCTGTGCAAAAGCAGAAAGGTGGAACAATGAAGATATGCAGTACGCTTCTACATGTGACACTGAGCAGCAATGAACACACACACAATGCACACAAAGGGTCAAGGCTCTCTACCTCTTAAAGCACAACCCTCTCCACACAAGTAAACTAAGAAATCCAGAATGAATGAGTACCACAGACTTGACAGGGTAGTGTTTCGATTTTTTCTTTTTTTGTTACTGTACGGTACTAGGGATCACAAGTGCTTAAGCCACTGAGCTATCTCCCCAGCCCATTGACAGGGTAGTGTGAAAGAAACACTGCTTGCATTTCATTGTCTTTCCTGTCACTTCTTTAAAAAAAAAAAAAAAAAAAAATTCCTGAGATACCATTGCACTATAAACTGTGGAGGAAAATGTAGCTAACAATTTTCCTCAGTGCAAAATAACCAATGGGTCTCTCTCCTGTATGAAATCTCAGATAAAGCACACTGCTTTAAGTTGGGTCCGCTTCCAACATGAGTCCTCAGAAAGCAACAGCACTCTGTAAATGGTTTGCTCACAGTGACAACACTCGAGGGGTTTCTCTCTGGTAGGAATGGTCAGATGCCATGTAAGAAGTTTCCTCTTGTAAAAGACTTTCTTCACTGGTTACAGTCAAAAAGTCATTTCCCAGGAGAAGCTCTTGAATGTTGACAGGTGCTTGTGCGCTCGAGAAAGGCCGGCCCTCCCCCCCAGCACTGGCTGGGCCTCGCCCCGTGTGCATCCTCTGATGGTGGGAGAGCGAGGAGCTGCGGCTAAAGGCTTTCCCACACTCACTGCATTCATAGGGCTTCTCTCCTGTGTGGATGATGGAGTGTCGGATGAGGTTGGTGCTCCAACAAAAGGTCTTCCCACACTCCACACATTCGTAGGGCTTCTCCCCGCTGTGGATCCGCTGGTGCCGGGTGAGGCCGGACCTGCGGTTGAAGGCCTTGCCGCACTCTGTGCACTCGTAGGGCTTCTCCCCCGTGTGGATGCTGAAGTGGCGGATGAGGTCTGCCCGGTTGCTGAAGGCTTTCCCACACTCCTTGCACTCGAAGGGCTTTTCTCCAGTGTGGGCCCTTTTGTGCAAGATGAAGGTGGAGCAGTGGGTGAAGGCCTTCCCACACTCGCCACACACATAGGGTTTCTCCCCGGTGTGGATGCGCTGGTGCCTCTTGAGGTACGAGCGGTGGTTGAAGGCCTTGCCGCACTCCAGGCACTCGAAAGGCTTCTCCCCAGTGTGGATGACGTAGTGGTGGATGAGGGCTGCGCTCTCACAAAATGCCTTTCCGCACTCGCTGCACTCGTAGGGCTTCTCACCAGTGTGGGTCTGCTGGTGCCACATAAGGTACGACCTGTGCTTGAAGACCTTTCCGCACTCGAAGCACTCGTAGGGGTTCTCTCCACTGTGGATAATGTAGTGGCGAATGAACCCTGGCCTGTCTCGAAAGGCTTTGCCACACTCTTTGCACACAAAGGGCTTCTCTCCAGTGTGGCTCCTGTTATGCAAGACAAACGTGGAGCGGTGGGTGAAGGCCTTGCCGCACTGGCCGCACGTGTAGGGCTTCTCCCCGCTGTGGATGCGCTGGTGCTGGGTGAGGTGTGACTTGCGGTTGAAGGCCTTGCCACACTCCATGCACTTATACGGCTTCTCCCCTGTGTGGACCATGTGGTGTTGAAGGAGGTAGGTGCTCTTGCTGAAGGTCTTCCCGCACTCTGTGCACTCGTAAGGCTTCACTCCAGAGTGGATCCGCTCATGTCGAGAGAGAAGGCGCTTCTTGTTAAACACCTTCCCACACTCGCCGCACCTGAAGGCGGCTTCCCCCTCCTCCTCAGGCA